AATTATAAATTTGAATTCTAATCCTAATCAAAATTAGGGGAGGTATTAAAGGAGAGATTTATGTTAATTTTTCAAATGATTCGTTTAAATAATTAAATAGGAAAAAAAACAATTAAGAAAACATATCTAAATTAAATTTCAAATTTGAATATACTAAAATTAATGYCATTTTATAATTTTAAATTTTAGTTAAAAAAATCTTCAATGCTTAGTATTTTAAATTTGAGATTTCGTCTCTCCATTCCAATTTTTAAAATCGTTTCTCGCTCAATCTCGCTCTCGCTCACTCGTCTCTCGTTTTCTCTCTCTCGCTCAATTCTCTCTCTCTCAACTTTCTCTTATTCAACTCTCTCTCTATCTCCTTCCCCATCCCATCGTAACTTTCTTCCTCTCCTCAGCCTCTTTCTTTGACGAACGACCTCCCTCGTCGGCTTTAAACTTTTGGCAGTAGAGTAAGGAGGGGCATGGGAGGTCATTTGACAAACTAGGTGATCTACTAGAAAACTTGTGTTTTGAGAAGAGCGATTAAAAAACTTAAACGGCCTCACAGCAAGCTTATTTTGTCAATTTTCCCAATTTATTATTTCATATTCAATTTATTTATTTATTATTATTWTTTTTTTCATATTCGTCAYTGTCTTGAAAAGTTTACCGCACTTGATGGGAWTCCAAATTCATATGAGACGGGCATCTAAATTCTCATGTATGTTTGGTAGAAACGTAAGATACATTGATATTTCAAAATGTCAGGATATCTTATGATGCTCATACGGGAGGCATTCGAATTGTTTTAGATGCTCTTTTGAAACATGGGTTTTCATGATTCTCGTGTTAATGACATCTTATGTTGACATTTTTGTTCCTTCATTATTTTTTTTTATATATTTTCTTTTATCAAATTTCTTTCTTTTTATTTGTAATTTTATAATTTAAATAAATTAATGTACACACTCTCTATTAAACAATTTTATATCATATACAAATAATTATATGTATTATTTATATATTACATATACCTATAACATAAAGTTCAATTAAATTATATAATATTTTCATCTACTTTTATACCTGGAAGGAATTRTTATTAATAATATCTATTATCTTAAATACATAATTTTAAAGYAATATATAWTTTTTTATGATAAGCTTACATTTGATATTTTTCTTCTTAAAAGAATATAATTTGATAATATAATAAATATGTTTCACCTCAGATAATATTAATTATATAATGGTATATTTTGGAAAATATTAAAGTTTTGAGAACGAAATTTATATTCAATATTAATTACTTTTAAAAAAAGTCTTATATTAATATGAATCGTAYGYARTAACATACAAAATTAATATATACACCATTAATATAAAAAACCAAAACATTAAATTAATTTAAAAAATMTATTATATAAATGAAAATTATATTAGATTATGTATAAAATATATGAATATTCGTAAGGGYATTTTTTGAACATTATATAAATTTAGAACAAAATCAAGCGTCGAAATCCAGATATTCATGGACATCCTTATATATTTTCCTATGAAACAAACGTGGTCATCTGAAGATGTCAAACATCTAAAATTCCGAACATTTGAAATTCCAGGCATTTACATTCCCAAAAAAGAGACTACTCTAAATCTTTTACTATAGCTCACATGTATATCAATGATTAGAGGAGAAATTAATCAAGACTTTTTTGTCGGATATAGGTGTCTTACCCTGTTGAGCTATGTTTAATTTGGCAACCAATTATTAGAGTTATCCAATATATATTTACAGAGTCAATTATTTTTAGGCTAAATTACAAAAAGTACATCTGAAATATATTTGTCGTTTTGTTTAAAAAATATCTCTCTTCTTTCAAAAGTTTCAATACTACTCTTGATATTTCGTAAATCTTAGAAGTACCTTTKGAACAAACTAGTAAGAAATACATRYGGTACACATGAAATTTCATAGTTTTTATTTCAATGTTTAAAAATATAAAATTTAACTAAATAGTTAAAATTTATAATATAATTTGGTTTTTTTATCTCTAATTGTTTACCTCGCCAAGTTTTTTCCTATTTTCAATATTTATCT